AGGCATGTGTTGGTTATGGTTAAGGTTAGGATAAGTCTCCTGGAAATGCATGTAAGTCAATGTAATGTCCCTGAAGTGATGTATACATGGTGTGGTGGTTAGGGGTTAGTGTGTGTGTCCGTGTGTTTAAACGGGGGTATAGGCAGTGGGTAAACAAGGTTTAATAACACCATGCAAACCCTTTTATTTTGCTACAACAGAAGCTCAACAAAACTTGGAAGATTTCAAGTATAAAAACATTTGATTTCTTGCCGAGGTAAAGAGAACCTCTTGTTTCCTCTCAGGATTGAGATGTGTTTCTGCAAAACATTATGCAGAAAGAGAAGAGAAGATGTTCCTCAGCGGAAACAATACCATCGTTACTCATTGTTTTATTTCTGCAGCGAGACAATAGGAGCTGCTGTGAGTCCTGATAGAGTCTGAGCTGCCAATCAGTGGGAGGCAGGTCCCAATAAAGAGAAGGAACAATGAGGAGCTGCAGCCATTGTTTCCTCTGAGATCCACCTGTCTCACTCAGGAAGCTTTTCATGCTCTTAGAAACATGGAGTGATGGTGGAACCAAGAGGAGCTCCATGAAAATTGTCAGAGACAAACAGAATGGTTTTAAAGAGTCCCCTCCTGCTGATGTTCAGGTGTATATCAGTATGTAGTGTCTCTACTTTAAAGAGTCCCCTCCTGCTGATGTTCAGGTGTATATCAGTATGTATGTGTTCTCTACTTTTAAAGAGTCCTCTCATGCTGATGTTCAGGTGTATATCAGTATGTAGTGTATCCTACTTTAAAGAGTCCTCTCCTGCTGATGTTCAGGGTGTATATCAGTATGTAGTGTATCTACTTTACAAGAGTCCCCTCCTGCTGATGTTCAGGTGTATATCAGTATGTAGTGTCTCTACTTAAAGAGTCCCCTCTGCTGATGTTCAGGTGTTCTATCCAGTATGTAGTGTCTCTACTTTAACGCGTCCTCTCCTGCTGATGTTCAGGTGTATATCAGTATGTAGTGTCTCTACTTTAAAGAGTCCCCTCCTGCTGATGTTCAGGTGTATATCAGTATGTAGTGTCTCTACTTTAAGAGTCCCCCTCCTGCTGATGTTCAGGTGTATATCCAGTATGTAGTGTCTCTACTTTAAAGAGTCCTCTCCTGCTGATGTTAGGTTGTATATCAGTATGTAGTGGTCTCTACTTTTAAAGAGTCCCATCCTGCTGATGTTTCAGGTGTATTTCAGTATATAGGTGTCTCTACTTTAAAGAGTCCTCTCCTGCTGATGTTCGGTGTATATCAGTATGTAGTTGTCTCTACTTGTAAAGAGTCCCCTCCTGCTGATGTTCAGGTGTATATCAGTATGTAGTGTCTCTACTTTAAAGAGTCCCCCTCCTGCTGATGTTCAGTGTATATCAGTATGTATAGTGTCTCTACTTTAAAGAGTCCTCTCCTGCTGATGTTCAGGTGTATATCAGTATGTAGGTGTCTACTACTTAAAGAGTCCCCTCCTGCTGATGTTATGGTGTATATCAGTATGTAGTGTCTCTACTTAAAGAGTCCCCTCCTGCTGATGTTCAGGTGTATATCAGTATGTAGTGTCTCTACTTTAAAGAGTCCTCTCCTGCTGATGTTCAGGTGTATATCAGTATGTAGTGTCTCTACTTTAAAGAGTCCTCTCCTGCTGATGTTCAGGTGTATATCAGTATAGTGTCCCTACTTTAAAGAGTCCTCTCCTGCTGATGTTCAGGTGTATATCAGTATGTAGTGTCTCTACTTTAAAGAGTCCTCTCCTGCTGATGTTCAGGTGTATATCAGTATGTAGTGTCTCTACTTTAAAGAGTCCTCTCCTGCTGATGTTCAGGTGTATATCAGTATGTAGTGTCTCTACTTTAAAGAGTCCTCTCCTGCTGATGTTCAGGTGTATATCAGTATGTAGTGTCTCTACTTTAAAGAGTCCCCTCCTGCTGATGTTCAGGTGTATTTCAGTATATAGTGTCTCTACTTTAAAGAGTCCTCTCCTGCTGATGTTCAGGTGTATATCAGTATGTAGTGTCTCTACTTTAAAGAGTCCCCTCCTGCTGATGTTCAGGTGTATATCAGTATGTAGTGTCTCTACTTTAAAGAGTCCCCTCCTGCTGATGTTCAGGTGTATATCAGTATGTAGTGTCTCTACTTTAAAGAGTCCTCTCCTGCTGATGTTCAGGTGTATATCAGTATGTAGTGTCTCTACTTTAAAGAGTCCCCTCCTGCTGATGTTCTGGTGTATATCAGTATGTAGTGTCTCTACTTTAAAGAGTCCCCTCCTGCTGATGTTCAGGTGTATATCAGTATGTAGTGTCTCTACTTTAAAGAGTCCCCTCCTGCTGATGTTCAGGTGTAACTACCACAGGGATTTTAGCCGTTGCAGACCATTTACTTGCATTAAAACATATAGAACACTCTACAGGAAAGGGCAAACCCTCCACATTTTGTTCAAAGACACTGTAACATATGGCACCTTGGAAACCATCCCCTACAAACCTTTCATACTAATGAATCTCTAGTTAAACACACACACACACACACACACACACACACACACACACACACACACACACACACACACCACAACACCACACACACACACACACACACACACACACACACACACACACACCACACACACACCACACACACACACACACACACACACACACACACACACACACAGAGGAAGAGGCTCTGCTTCCTGCTGATTAGCCACAAAGGACAAAAAGCATGAAATTGTCATAGCAACAGAGCAGCGGGGGTAAAACGGCCCGTTACCCATCAGCACCTGTTGCATCTTCCTGAACGCTGCAACGCTGGAAATGTCACAGCAAACAGAGACAAGGGCAACCAGGGCTAAAACATACCGTCGCTAAGTCTGTATTTGATGATATTGTGGATTTAAATCAGTATACCAAAGGACCAAAGCTTAATTGGGCCTGTTATAGAAAAAAAGGAGTGGTTGCTCAAAGTCAACTGCTTTTTACGGTACCGTGTTTAATAGACACTTGCAAGTCATTTTTAATTAGTTTATTAACGGATGCTTAATGTTTAAAAAATAAAACACAATGTTCACAAATGAGTTATATATATATATATAAATCTGGTATTTTGAGTCAATGAGATAATACAGATTAAACTAAAAACTGATTGAAAAAAGCTACTTTCTTTTGCTCTTGAACTCACACATTATATAATTCAACTTTATAAAACGGACAAGTCAAATCAAGCAATCTGATTGGTTCTTAGCCGTGATATACTGAGCGTATACCACGGGTAGAATTGTAAGTTACTTTTCACAACAAGTCAGTATCCCTCCGCGTCTGAGAAAAACAGTATACCGTTGGGCTAAAAAGCAAACTGCGGAAAGCAGCGGAGAAGTAACGGGGCAGAAACCCTCCTTTTTACGCAGCGGTCCAGACATAGACATCAAACGGCAAACCATATTCAGTGTGCAGTTCCTTTGGCATTAGGGCAGGGATATCTAGATACTTTCCAAGGTTTGACATCATGAATTGTGCTACTTTTAAAGCAAGCAACGATGTTTTCAAATCTGTAATCAAAGAGGTCCGCAAAAACACTATCGACCAATCAGATTGCTTGATTTGACTTGTCAGTTTTATAAATATATTTACATTTCTTCCGTTACGAAACAAACTTATAAAGCATAAGATGGAAACATTTAAGATTAACTTCGACCTCCGGGGGGGTCTCACTATGGAGGAGTGGATTGAGGAGGAGTGCCTATCTCCAGAAGAAAAAGCACATAAACGACGACATGCAGAGCTACGTGAAGAGCAGGCAGACCAACTGGAGAAGCACCATCATTCAAAAGCTTTCTGATGGGGTCTTGAAACAAAGCAGAGAGATGATGAGCGTTAGTGGCCACAGGTGCGAAAGCTCTCTCCAGAGCTGCTGGAAGCCGAATCTCGGGGACCGGAGAAAGTGGAGCAATATTCTCGCCACGCCAAGCAACAGCCTAGAACAACCTCAACCTATACAAGTGACCTCGTAAGCATGCTGCTGATGCTGGACAGGTTTTCAGTGGCTGCACAATAAACGCCAACATACAAATGAATGTAAATAAATAGCCAAATAATGGATCAACGCTCTCTGTCTAATATGTTCGCTAGCTGTTAG